GGCGGGGGGGGATTCAGGGTGTGTCTTTAGGAAGAGGAGAAAGTGACATCAGCAAGGAAGGGCAGAGGGGAGGCAATGTGCTTTTTTCCCCTGCAGAGACTCGTCATCTCTCTGTGCGTCTTCCGCCAGAGTCTGGAGACATCGGCACACCAAGCAAATATGCATGCGCACATACACACACACACATAAAGAGCAGTTCCCTCCTTAACTTTGCTCAGAGGGAATAAACAGCATGATGAAACCCAACTCCACTGCTCTATCAGCTGACAGTGTGAAGAACAGCCCTGGGCACACACTCACACTCACACTCCTCCCAGGCCACAACTTGTACAGACAAACAAATCGTTATTCTCAGGGAGCAGAGGAGACAGACTACTTGCTTTCCAATGCAGCGAAAACAAACCCAAAAACATGCCACAGCTTAAAAACCACACCGCTCAGGGAAGCAACTGCTAGATATGACTTAACCCAACATTTAAAGGCTTTCCAAATATTTGGACTAAGGACTTGACAACCTAATTTCTGTTTGCTTCCTTGTTAAAACCACAGGGGAGAGACACGAGGGAATTCAGTGTTTTTCCCTCTAATCTTCACTGTAATCTTGGGATTGTCGCTGCTGCTCTACACTGCAGTCAGAAAAGAAAGCGGAAAAGCAAGAAAGCCACGTCAAAACAAGAAGCCTGATCTGGTTGCTATGGCAAACACTCAGCTATTTCTCTGTGGCTAGAGCAGAGAACAGCAGGGTTACAGGGTAAAGCTGAAGTCAAACTTCACCAAAACGAATATTGTAAGTACAGTGAGAGAAATGTGTTTATTAAACACAGCATATAATGAGGAACAAATCATTTGTCATTGAAATTTCAATGATTTGACAGTTAAAGAAAGTGCATGTGTTAAATTGAAAATTGATGTCGCATTTCACAGAAGCCATAAAGGTACAAAAACATGACCCACATTCCTAATGCTTCTTCTAATCTAGTTCAGAAACTAGGACAGAGTTGTGTAAGTAGATACAATATATACATGGGGTAAAAAAGTTATGAGACTGCTTATAATTTTGTTGCTGTTTAATTTTACTCTCATCTCACCTGGTAATATTTGAGGTGCTGGTTTTCTGGGGATTACAGTGTATTCATCTGCAGAAGTTGTGTTCACAAATTCAAATCAAATCAAAATCAAATTTTATTTGTATAGCGCCAAATCACAACAAAAGTCATCTCAGGACACTTTACAAATTCCTGCTAATTTCATATAATCAGATTATACAATTTACAGAATATCATAAAGTACACCCTTATTATTTTTTTTCTCCCATTCTTTTTGCAGTAAGGAAACGTGTATTTATCTTAAAGATGCCTTAGGATGTTAAATATATGACTATGGGGGTTGTAACTTTAGCACTTGTGATGAGGGTTTAGTAAGTCTACCTAGCAGGAACAAACCCTCAGTAGACAGACCAGTGCAGTAGCGCCCTCTTGTGGCCCAATCAAGTAGTGTGTTGCAGGCTGGTTTTACTGTACTGTAGGTGGTGGATACAGAGCTGACTGACTGGGGTAAAGTGACACTATAGCATGATACCACCATTAGTCATCTCAATCAAATGGGGTTTTATTTCCTGGAGCTTTGGGTTTCCCCCTAAGAAGATGACGTGAGTTTGTCAGGAAGAAGCTGGTCACTCGTGCATCTGTGCCATCTCAAAACACGATGCCACTCTTCTCTCCTTTGCTAACTAAACTGAATGTCTCTTACCTCACTGGTTAATCATTTCTATCTATATATCTAATATATCTTAGATAACGTTAAGTGTTTTTAAATATTTATGTTGTGTTTTACTGGCTTGAAAAGAGGAAGTTTAGTCAGGAGGGCACCTCGTGTAAAATATGATCAAGTTAGTGAGTGGACAAGACAACGGAATAAAAGTACTCCCAGTCAATACGACATCCATAATGAACTACCATTACATTACCATTAAGTTAATAGCTACCACTATAATAACGTGTTACTTTTAAATAAGCTATGGTCGAGGCGACTGTACCCACACAGTGTGGCAGGTCGTGTTTCCGTAAAGATGATGTTTTCTTTTTAATAGTCACCACAAAATCGTTTTGTCACTCCAACGGTTTCTAATTAAAAGTAACATTTCTAACCGTTTTACCTGTTTGATACAGATGAAGTTTTCTCTTCGATCTCCATCTTTGTGAGCCTTTCTTCCCCGCTAGCGGCAGACATTGCTATTCGGTTGGTAATCAGGTGTAGAAAATAAAGTTAGCACCGATGCACCATGGGACTTGTAGGCATATTGTATTTCGTTTATTCAAAGCCATAACGTATTGAGTCTAAAATGGACTTCAATCCCAGAATGCAGCTGTATCTTATTTCCGATCTACAGCTGGGAGCATGTATAGTATAGTACCAAGGTTAGTGTTGCCAACTTATAGCGACTTTGTTACACGATTTAGCGACCTTTAAGACGCTATAGCGACTTTCATCCTTATATTTCCCCACAATTTGATATATGTTGACTGAATGGTTCATAATTTTATATACACAATTTAAGGCAACAAGTGAAAGAAATAGGCCTACTGTCAGGGTATTCACACATGTAAAAGGTTATAGTCTCTATCATGGCATGTGAATTGCAGTTTTATTCCTTTATACCTTTATATAAGCTTACCCTTTTATATCGGCATAATTAACAGATTGTAAACTTAGAATATTACAATGTTATATTGCAGAATTATGCTGTGCTGGAAAATTCTTTCCTTGATCTAGACCACATGTGTCAAACTCAAGGCCCGCGGGCCAAATGTGGCCCGCCACGTCATTTTGTGTCCCGCGAGAGCTTAATAGGTGCAAATATATATTAAAATAAGTATATTCTGCTTTAAAACGTGCATTGGCCATAAACCACATATCCCGCAATGCATTCAGATTGTTACCCGCGAAGTAACGGTATCTCTCCACTTTAAGTGGAATCGAGAAGTCTCTACAAATAATCCCAAAATGTCCAAGAAATGAAAAATCGCCCACTTTCCTGTCTGCCAGAGCATCTCAGCCTCAGTTCCCGGTGCTTTTTCATGTGCTCGGTTGTCTACCAAACTAAACCGGTTAATGAATGAGTTTGATCGGCGCCTTTCTGACTTTAAAGCACAGCACTCTGGTTTTGCCAGCTTTGCCGATCCTTTCACCGCCGACGGCTGCAGTGCCGCCCATCACCTTCAGATGGAGTTAATTGAGCTTCAACGCGTTAGTGGCCTGAGGGCAAAGTTCCAGGATGCTGCAATCGAGGACTTTTACCGTCTACTGCCCCCTGGTTTGATGCCACAGCTTTGTGTTTGTTATTTTCATAACATGATCTATGGATGAGGATGTGTGTGAGATGGTGTCTATGGGTAAGGAGGGATCTACTTGGTGTGTTCAAGGACAGGCAGCATCACCTCATTGTTGTTGTTGTTGTTGTTGTAAAATGCTACTTCTGTCACTCTTGTTGGTTGTGCCATAGTTCTGCCCCCCTTGACTGTGACAAAAAAGTTTTGAATAAAGTTACTATCATAACTTGTTTTTGATATTTTCCTGATTTATTTGAATAGTTTGTTTGTTGATTGATTTAGTAAAGTGGGTTTCTTAAACTGAACATTTATTTTTACATTTATGCAAATGCATATGTAATATTTGCAACTTGAATAAGTAATAAATACAGAAACAGTTATTTAACAATATGATAAGGAGTAGTTTATTTTAAATTACATTACATTTAGTTACACTTATACTGTTAATCTGGCCCTTTGAGGGCAACCATTATGCTAATGTGGCCCTGAGTGAAAATGAGTTTGACACCCCTGATTTAGACTGTGTAAAATCATGATTTCATTATATAAAGCCCATTAAATCACACTTGTCTTGGTATCTGGGCTCTTTGGGGCAGTATTCAGTCAGTTACATAGGCTGTTCACTTTGTGTTCAGAAGCAGAGACATCATGGCACAGCTTCTGGGTTTGGAGGAAACACTCCCTCAAGGCTGGAAAAGGAGGAGACACAACATCGTCTACGTCAGGTTCCACAAGCCCTTGAAAACGGATTCAGAAAGGTGAGCGACATCCTGGAAGTTGATCCATCTAGCCACGCTTTGTGTAGGTTAGGTGTGTTGGTTCGTGTTTAGCTTGTTAACTTCATACCATAACATAAGCTATTTTTAAGGGTAATGTGTATGTAGTAAATGATACCCTGTTATCATTAGGCTTTCATACTTATCTGAAAGCTCACATAATTAGATGGGTCAGAGGGACACACAAACTCCTTTTAGTTGATAAACCTAGACTTCAAAAGAAGAAAATGTACTTGGCCTGAGCATTTTGGGCCCTAATTTAACTGGCCAGGTTCAAGTAGGAATATGAATATTAGAATGAGCAGTTCAGTTAATTAATTCTTTCAGGTCTTAATGACTAAATTAATTAATACTTTGATTTCATACTTTAGTTTTGTAAGTCTTTAATTCAATAATCCATTTCAGTTCAAAGGGGTTATATTTGTGTGAATGTTTTAATGTTGTTAAGCATCAAAATACAATTTAAAGGTGTTTAAATATTTGAAAAGAAAAAATAATTTTGAGTATTAGTGCATTTGTCATTCACTGTCCCTCATGTTGTGGTATATTGATATGATGGGCAAGAAGAAAGGCTTCTTCTCCTAGGAGTATGTTTAATTTTGAGGTCAAAGTCTTTGAATCCTATATAATAATAAATGCTTTTTATTATTATTGTTGCTATTGTAGGAAATGAAACGCCCTTCAAGAATCCAGCAGGTTAATTTTGCATTTATGACAACAAATATAACCAAACTGCGGCAACCTAATACATTCCTACTACAACTTTACGCAGAAAATGTTACATTAAGTTTGATTTACAGCAATAAATAAATAAATAAATAAATAAAATTGGCTTGCTGCTTGTTTTTTTTTTTTTTTTTTTTTTTTTTGCCCCTGGAAAACCACGCCTATATACAGTCATGAAATTCCTTCAAAAATGTCGCTTGTTTTTTGTTTTGTTTTGGTTTTTTTTTTGTCTATCTGTTTTGTTAAACACAAACCTGTATCATGAAACTGTCTTTTCTTGAATATTAACTTGTGGTAAATTTGCCTTAAGTTATAAGGCTATTAGAAATCATCTTTAAAATTAGGTTGCTGCTGTTTTGTCATCTTTTAGATTTTTTTTTACAGCCACAATATATCCTTGCATTTCCATATAAGCACCATAGATTGACATTTTAATCTTACCTTATGATGTTTAAAAAAAAATCATGAAAGTACCAGTGTGCAGCTTCTACCCTCAGGAGTCATCCAGGTCTTAATAACATGACTGGAGCTTTGAAGTGACCTTATTAAATACATTTTTTTCAGTTTCTAGGCATTATTGCTCGCTTTATAACAAGTTACAATTATTAAACCACAAATAATGCAGGAAGCTAAAAGCAACAATTAAAGACAGATCACTCTGCCAACTTTGACCACACAATAAATACAGAGTCAAAAGAACAGCAAAACTGCATCAAGTGATACATTGAATTCATAAACTGAGACCTTGGAGATCTTTTGTTCTTGTTTGTGAATGCAATGTGCTTCCTTTCACACTTGTGTTAAAGGGATAGAAAAAATGATTTTAAAAAGTGGTCACAGTATAGTAGGCTGTTTGGTTTGTTAATTTTGCTTTCAGGATGCTTTTTTCTGAATGTATTTCGGGTACAATCTGTTGGACATGTTTCAGGAATTTTCTAATATGATATAATGTGAGCAGCTTTGATGAAGCAAAGGTCTGGCTATGCAAGATTAGAAGAAAAGCATATGTGACGGCATCTAGTGACTTTTCCAGCAGACTTTAGCTGCTTTCCATTTAAATTAGTTGGCAGCACTGATTAAGGTCACACACGTGACACAAGCTGGCAGTGGGCGAGGCTCAACCAGCATTTTGTGAGAGGATTTCACATCTTTGCTTTATTTTATTCCACCATCCCCCACCCCCACTGTGAATCAGTGTTGTAGCATAAATGTATATCACAAAACGATTTTCATGACTTTATTGTCTAGATCATATGATTTAAAAACATTCAGTAAAATGTGAAATACCTTCCACAATTAACACGGGGAAAGCTGAGTTATGGTGATCTTAGTAATAAGTCTTTTTCAAAGCAGACATTTTGACACGTCACAGGAGTAGCCTATTTAATTAATGATGGTTCCTTTCTAAGAGCCTACCGTGCAAATGCCTACAGTAAATAATGCCATCAGGAAGGTGTCTGATCAGTCCCAAATTTACTGTATAGTGCTGTGTGACACCAAACCCAAACACACTGCCTGTCATAAATGTCTATGCAGATTATCAGTCATCCAGGTCATAGTAAGCTGAAAAAATCAACTGGACTAGATTTCTAGGTCGAAGACGTTTCACCACTCATCCAAGAGGCTTCATCAGTTCTGACTGACTGGTGTTGAGCCGGAGATATTTATGCCCCTCAGTGGTGTTTCAGTCCTTTGAAGGTCAACAATGTCCCCTATCGACTGAGTTGTTATAGCCCAGTATCGGTGAGAGTCGTTACCTGTCTTTGGATCCTCACCTGTTGACCTACGCCTATCTGTGTCCTGTCCTGGTGGGCATGCAGAGATCTCAAAAGAGGATTGTAGATGGATGACAAGTTGTGTTTTAGTCCACCACCCCTATTTAGTGAGGGGTGGTGTTCTATTTTTACAAAAATAGCTTCCTTAACTCCTCTCAACCTCTATATGCTTAATTCATTCAAAAACTGTGTTTTTTTGGATTTAAATATAATGGAATTATTTACAGTAATTAAAAATAATACACACAGCCTCTGATATTCAATTGTCACCCAGGATATGAATGTCTGACAATCTGCTGTCTTATTCTGTATTTAACTGTCAGCTGATCTGGATCTTTATTGTCTTTGCTTTATGGTTTGGTCACCTCTGTCAGTATGACCAGAATGCTTGCAAATAATTTATTTTCCATTAGTGGTATTTCTGATACTTTATAAGCTGATACTGTATATGCTGTATGACAATAACATCAGGTACACAGATGTGATAGTAAAGTGCACAGTGGAGGTAACTACCCCTCTCACCCCCTCTGGGGACACACGGTGCGGGTCATAGCACAGCTGTTCGGAGTGTGTGAGCGAACAGTTTGTCAGAGGATGGCCCAGTATGGGATAAGGTAAACTTACTACACATAGGCCTTATTGTTTAAATTTCTTTTGTCAGTGTTTTCCTTTTTTTGTATTTATTCTTGGTTTTTTTTAATGGCAACAGTAGCTATATCTTATTGTTTGTAAGGCCATTAGCATGCATTCTGAAAATTACATTAGAAAGGCGTGCCTACAAATGCGAAGTAATATTATATGACGCTGAATTTTCAACCTGCTTTTGAGCATCTAATGTTGTGACAAAGTGGGTGAGAACACTCCACTTGTCCCTAAGTTAAGTCATGTATGTTTCTTAATGCCTTAACCTGTGTGTTAAATGTTTGATTGTATTTACTAGGTGGATATAGGATAAAGGAGGAGGTGGTTAATCACTTCCTCATTCTGTACGCTCTCTGCTGTCATCAAGGATGTCATAGGGTTGATTGATACCAGGGGCTATTTAATCAGCTGAGGTGGAGCAGCTGGGAGTGTGGCAGTCTAAGTGTAGCTGTGTGCATGTGCCTGTAAGTTGTGTTGAGTTGAGTTATTTTGAGTTGAGTTTTCTTCAGTTATGTGAAAATAACCATTTAGTTTGTTTAGTGATTTTGTTTGGCATGTGTACTTTGCTGGCACTTGTTTAAAATAAATTATTGATTTGAGAAAACCTGATGTATTTTTTGAGTCTGTCTCCTACATTCCTGGCCGCTCAGAGTCAACCTACCACAAATGTTAACTGGTGTGCACACAGTGTGCATTTGAGCCTGCTCCACAGAGAGGGCTTGACGCACACACTGTGCATTTTGGCCTACTCCAACCACAGTGTGCAAATTGCCCTGCTCCAGAAAGGGGCAAAGGGCACAGTGTGCATTTTGGCCTTTTCTGCACATGGCATGCACTTCGGCCTGCTCCGCACAAGGCATCCATTTGGGAGTTTGGCACTTGCCACAGCAGGTGTGAGCTTAATCCTGATTTCTTCCACCTCAGCCTCAGCCAGCTTGTTGTTCCTAATGGCTGACTCTGTGGCTGTGATGAAGTCTACAACAGGGATTTGTTTGGGTGTGGCCACAAAATGATATCCCTTGGCTAATACCTCTTTTTCTGTTTTTTTTTCTGCCTGTCATAAAGAACATCTTTCAGCAACAAAATCAGTCCTGCAGTAGCTGTTATTCTGTTTAGGCTACTGTACTTTTTGTGAAGTTAATTGATGAATAAACCCAAAACTATTAATGGCATATTTTTAAAAGCATGCTTGGTTTACTTTTAGTGCCAAAAACTCTTCTAGAGTAGTGATTGGTGGACAGCATGCAGAAAACTGGACCCCTGAAACTGGAACAAACAAATATTGTTGTACATGGTGAGAAAAGTCTATTACTATAGCTAACCGATTTCCAAACATACTTAAACACTGACACAGTTGACACAAGTTTAGTCAACAAACTTTTATTAATTAGATTAGGGATACTAATGCACAGGTAATACAACAAGTTTGGGAGAAAAAAGTAACAGTTCAGACTCAAAGGAGGTGTTTATGCCTCTTATGTTAGGTTCTATACAGCTTAATTTCAGATATGGAAATCTTTAATACATCATTAGTTTCATTTCACCTGTATAACATAACCAGTTATGATCTACAACATCATCGCTTAAAACTCAACAGTTTCTTCACAATGGCCCTGACAACAGAGGAGAAGGCCATTTCCTGCTTTTAAAGTAGGTAGCTTACAAAATGAACCACTGTTGTCCTCATAAAAGGGTAACATTCTCAGGCTACGGGGATTTATCAGGATTAACCTTGGTTTTGAGGGGAAAACCATTGCTGACAAAGGGAAGACACTTGAGCCTGCTGTTGTCCCAGGTACAAAAGTCACACCACACACAGTCCAGGTAACTAGAAAGCTCCAACAACACTCCTATTTCAAGCCTATTTCATGGTATAGCAAGTGCACTAAATACAGAAACGAACACACATACATATGCCTTTTAGTCCCATATTCAGTAGATAAAGGACTCTCTCAATGTGTTTGTCATCATCTACTAAAAAATTCAATTTATGTGCATCATCAAAATGGATAAAATAACAATGTATGTTGACACTCAGGCCTACAATGTTCTTTGTGGTCTACAAATTTTTTTCAACTTTTTTTTTTTTTTAGATTTTATAATATGTAAAAAAAGCATTTTCAAAGCAAATAAAAGTAGGGGAGTGAAAAAAGCCGTACAAGTTTGAGAAGACATCAATATCAAAGTATCAGCAAGCCAACAAAACCAGCTAAATATGGTGTATTGCTGTACTCTCTAAACATGTTTAGAGTGCGAATGGGTGAATGGCCGAATAATGTGAAAGCGCTTTGAGTGTGCTGTAAAAGCATAGAAAGGCGCTATACAAGTATAAGACCATTTACATGTTGCAGTTAGCTCACACTGCGGGATAGATATGTGTTTTCCACATCATAGGAAGACAGATAGTAAAGGGTGTGATAAAATATAAATTACCCACTGTTAAAAGCAGTGCTAAACTATCATATTGCAACACCAAAGCTTGTCAGGTAAACACGGTCAATGTGGCGTTATCAATAAAACGAGTAACAAGCAGCTGATGAACTGATTCTGTGCCACAACATAACACTCAGCAAAAAGTGTTACAATTTCTGACATCCAGTCATTACAAAGGTGCTAACTGTTTAACAAACACACACACACACACACACACACACACACACACACACACACACACACCAGGTCTGGACAACTCTATTGAAAAGGTCCGAGGCCCACTCAGTGCTTGTCTTATTTGTCCTCTCGGTCAGCTGAACCTGAATAGAAGATGAAGGTCCATCCCACTAACAAAGAGACGCATGCATAAGCATCCCCACCTGAACCTCATTGGTTGATTGATAATGGTGGAGTTCCACTCAAGTCTTTGCTTCGCGATATAAAAAGTAACAGCGTAGGGATGATACTACCTGGGACGCATTACATTTCAAATTCAGTGTTTCTTGGACATGTTTCACTGACATCAGTGCTTTATTTATATGATGACATTGACATTTGTCGACGCAAAATTTAGAGGACTTGTCAGAAGTAGAAAACGGCAGGGTGGATTGGTGGACTTAAATGAGTTGTATCAGGTCCTTAAGGTAGAATGGCAAGTAAAGCACCCTTATTATCTCATCAGAATAACCTCATATCGCAACTTTATTCAAAGCTATAAGATTGCTATCTAGGTAACATACACACACATACACAAGAATATAAAATAGATTTATGATCTTTTTTGTAAGTAAGCAAGTCATTTAATTTTATGGACATAGCCTGCAAATATAAATCAAATATTTATGGAGTTTTCATCTGCTCAAATTGTAAATAAAACTGTGGATTCAAGTATTTACTTTAAATGTGTTAAAGTGAATATATTCTCTGATTGCACACATTTTAGATTTGAAATGTTTTTTTTATTTTTTATCTGAAGCTTAACTAGCAGTGAGTGAAAGAGCAGCCTTAACATTCAACAGGCCAGTTATGGCTTTGTGTGGTGAGTCATAATTATATGGCCTTGTTGGATTACAGATGCTATCTAGAAAGAGTTAATCATGCTGCTCATTACCCATGTTGAACAGATTTAGTTTTTCTCTTCTTTAGTTTTCATCAGAGTAAGATTTTCCCCCTCCTGTGCCTGACAGCCACTTAAGGTGGCTGGATACTCCTGGAGTGCAAAATACAAGAGGGGAGAAGGAAGGGCTAAGGATTAAAGTGCAAGGCAATCGCTTTGAGCGTTCAGGAATTGAGTCATATACGTACATTATAATATGTGAATCTTCATTTGCAAATTTTCTGTTTAATATAAGTTTTCCCCCTCAACCTCTCTATAAAAGATATCATTTTTATTCTCTCCTCTGCTCTTTGATTCAAGCAGTAGCCAAAATATGGCCCCTTTAATATTATGGTATCACATCATTTGATTGTGCTGCAATGGTGCAACAAGCTTCACACAAAATTGATCCTTCTGTCCACCACTTTGAGTCTTATTTTAGACAGAATGCTTCAAGTTTTTCTGTTTTGTTTAAAATCAATTAAACAATGCTATATTAAGTATTATTGTAACTAACTTATGCCTTACAGATGGAAATCTCAATCACTTTTCAGGGTATTCTGCTTATTAACCTCAGTGTAAAAGACCTATGGAAATCTTTTGACACCTAATTACAGCTGTCAAACCAGTTACCTTTCACTGTCATGTGATGCAAATGAAATAAAAAGATAGGTCACTGAAGTGACAGCCACATAGTTGTAGGAAAAATAGAGTGGAAGATGTTTAACAACTGACCATCATTTTAGCTTATACAACATTTGCTTACTTAAAACATGAAATGTAAAATCAGTAAAAGCAAAACCATAAAGAAATCTAAAAGAAATCAAGTTCAAAACAACATTGCACTAAGCACACAATGTGAAAATTCTGATTGCTCCTGATCCGCTTGGATGTTTCAGGCTTGGAAATGACAAATGGTATCATTGCTTTGAGTATATAGATATATAGATGTAGCTATTGTATATGTACACAGTACAGTATCTATGAAAAATGTGAAAACACTAGCTATCTTTAAATGATTTCACCATGCTAATAGAATATCCTTTTTAAAACCTCTCAAACACAACATGAATCTCATAGAGAGAGTTACTCTTTGAAATACTACAACTGTTTGCAAAATGCTATCCATGTAGAAGTCAGAATTTTATCTTTGATTCCTACTGACACCTCTGCTGTGAACACAGAAGCTGAAAGGTGCACCTTAAAAATGAGACAAAAGTGGAATGGACAAATAAAACATTACTGGTGCATGAGTATTGTTTAGAACAGTAGACACATTAAATGTGGGGTTTCAAAACCAACATCTGAAGCCTGTACTAAATGTTTTACTTCTAAATGGTTGATTTAACTTTCTTCTCTCTGCCAAGTCCTGGAGGAGTTAGAATGGTCTTCTTGGCATAAGATGTACAGTAAGCATCCTCTCTGGCGCCTGGGTCGACAAAAGCAGAGCTACTCCGACAGTGACAACCTCTTGGGTTTGCTTCGTCTGACGCTGGAGGGAATAGGCTGTCTGTTTTGGCCTGACTTTGCACTGTCTGTTGGGTCGGGAATCAGGGTGGGAGACTGTGTTGGGCCCAAGGAGGGAGTCACAGCAGGGGTTGAGTTGTGAGTTGTGACAGTTGCTTCAGTTTTTGTTTGAAGAGGCACAGCCACAGAAGGGCGCTCTTTAGGCTTGCGCCCTCTCTTCTTACCAGTGGTGGCACCATTTCTCACCTCAGCTTTGAGCCCATTGTTCTCTGGTGCTTTACTCTTGCTACTTGCGACCACTTGACTGGCTGCTGCACGAAACCAGTTCTAAGGTAATAAAACACACATTTGCTGATTTCCTTATGCTCTGAAGAAGGGACAGGAGCATGTGCATAACTGTAAAACCTTCATGTGGTAATTAACAAGACTGTAACTATTTAGGATGTCAACCTTGTGGGAACACTGATAGTGTTGGATTTTTTTTTTTTTTTGAACAAAATCTGTATATTGAATAAATAAGCTGTCGTGTTCCACATATTGCATTTGAGGGAAAACGTATTAATTATTCCAAAAAGATCTGCATACTTTTTTCCAGACATTAATGACTGGTTTCCACAACATAGGTATCTTCAAGTTAATAACTTGTTACCACAAGTTAAATATAAATCCTCTGTGATTCAACAAGGTGTTTACTGTATATTAATAGAACTGGAAATGCTAAAGTAGAGTGACATTAAATAAGGCCATTGTTTTGTTGTGTAAAATTTACACAGAGGCTGACCCACCTGTGAATGAGTCTTGCTGATGTGGTACTTGACACCACTCTCTGAGCTAAACTCCTTCTGACAGATCAGACAGGTGTACTTCCCCATTTCTCCACCACCCTACAACACACACACACACACACACACACACACACACACACACACACACACACACACACACACACACACACACACCCACAAAAACACAATTTGTCCATCTAGTTCAGCTCAAAACAACCTCTGTTTTCTTAATTTTAGTTTTTGATTTTCATTTAGCCAAAAGGCTAATTTTCAACTGTTGTCCCTTGGCCAGGTGTTAAAACATCCATTAAAACAACAATAAGACACACAACATACATAACATGAATTGGCTGAATAAAACGTAAAATACTATGGCAAATATTGTTGAGCAGTACTGTATTTTTCTTGTCATGATATGTCATTGGAGAGGCAAAATACTTCACAAACAGATAAAAAAAAAACAAACAACACAAAAATAGATGTGATGAAGAGATAAACAGCTGGCTATCAACCACAATATGAATCTGGGTTAAAATTAGTGTCTACAATGGACAAATATATTCAGGCTGGTGCATTTTTTTCAGGTGGATGTTTGTACCTGGCTGCAGTTGGCGAGGTGGGCTTTTAGTCCTGACACACTGGAATAGACAGCTTCACAATTCTAAGACAAAACAAAAATAAACAGTGAGTAAAAAAATCCTTATGCCATTCTGTGAAATCAATGGCTTTAGTGTTATAAACCAAGTGCACAGATCTCTGAATAAGCCAGTCAGTGCTCTTACTTCATTGGTGCAGCAGATGAAGCCCTTCTCCTTGACTTGGTTCTTCCAAGTCTCTAGAAGCTCTGGGCTGAAGCTGGGGAGGCCAGGACGAGTGTAGTTTAACTATCCAAAAGGAAACATTTATATCAGTATCCCTGGTAGTTTCACAATTGTACTGTATGTGTAGAAAAGGAAACGACTGGGAGACATTTTTATCTGTCAGGTTCAGCTTTTGCCAGTTTGTCTGGAGTCTTATGGCAAGTTGGCTTAAATGCATGTCACTGTTTAATCCTCTTCTGTATATGTGAATGTGTGTTGATTGTTTTGCTGATGTATGTGTGTGAGCTGAGCATGCATATGTTTATGACTACTGTGTTGATCTCTTAAAGGCTGCTAGAAATGCAGATCATGTGTGAATCATGCATCCGCCCTTTGTCCTCACCCTCTTGCTGTCAGGCACCAAGTCATCCTTGATGCGGCGCTTAGTGCCCCAGTCTTTGGCCAGCTCATCCTCTGCTATTTCCTGCAGGTGGAACACTGCCACCTGAGCTGAGCGGCGCCTCACTCTGCCACTGGGGGTTCGTTCAAAGTCCTCCCCAGGGCTCTCATTCTGTGCTGCTTTATCTTTGTCTTGCTCCTTTTCCTTTAATTTTTCCATGTCCTTCTCCCTGGCTTCCTTCTCCTTCTCCTTCTCCTTAGGATGGCCACATGTTACTTTCTCCTGCCAGTCCTTCTCAGGGTGGTTTTGCTCTTTCTTGGCTCCTGATGACGAATCCTCAGAGACCACCTGGAGGAGCAATGAGTGGACAATGTGAAGCAACTTTGATTACCTAATAAAATCTAGCAAAATACACCTATAAACAGCCATCACTCACAGCACTTACTGTTCCCTCACCCTTACTGTTTTCTTACCCTCTCTTTGCCGGCATTGTTGTTGGTGTCAGTATCCTTGTGGTGGTTTGGGGTGGTGGATGTCATGGTGGTGGTGGAAGCTGGAGAATGTTCGGTAAGCACATGGTAGTCTTTGCCAGCCAGGGAGTGGTAGGTTTTTCCACAGTGCTGGCATAGAAACACGGGCTTGTCACCATCAGCAAACTGTCCTCCACAACGTTTCTGGTGATACTGGTAGCCCATCAGACTGGAGAAGTGGGCTGAGCAGCCCTGTACGTGTGTGTGTGTGTTTGCACACGTAATGTTAAGTGTTGTGTGAGGCCAGTGACAGAAATGAGACAGAATTAAAACATACATTAAGAAGGAGACAGGACCAGGGGAGCAATGTGCAGGTTTAATGGAACAACATTACTGAATTTGGTTAATATTTTGGAGTTGCTCTTATAAAAACAGAAAATTAGAAGAAACTGCTCATTCTTTAGTGTGAAGACATGCCAGTGTTTTTACAGCCCTTTCTCTTCCTCTTGCTGCCTTTTGCACTTTAGTGTGAGTAATGTGAAGCAGAGTGTTGATGTAGGTTTTGGGCACCATGTCAAGAACAAGGCATATAGTAAAGGAAAAATGAGGGAGAGAGCTAAAAGGAAGTAGACACAAAATGAGGAGCGTGTGGAAAAGGGAACATAATTGAAACTGAAGGATGAGGAGAGAGGAAAATGTGACGTGAAAGACGGAAAAGGCGGACAAATGGAAATGGAGGACAAAGAAAAAAAGAGTAGTAAAAATGTAATAAAGCTAAAGAGAAAGGGACAGTAAGAAAGAGAGAGCACATACCTCACTAGGACACTTGATTCGTCCCATCTGTTTGAGGACTCGGCGCAGCCTTTCTCTCTCCTCATGCTCATCACCTGTCTGGCCTTCGCTCCCTGAAGGCTGAGGGGGAGCAAACACAATGCCACATAAGCATGTCCCACCCCAACACTTCTCCATCCCTTCTGACTTAAATAAATAGTGATGAAAATGTGTTTCCCATCTTGGGTGTTCACACTGCTCCAGGATCATTAAATGGCTTCATGGTGCAGCGGTTACTCAAGGTATGTTTATGACAACTGTCAAACTCATGTTTTCACTTGTGTGTCAGCTGGTGCCAAACCCCAGCCAAAACCAGAACAACAGATGGCAGGGCTGCCAGAGAGGGGAAAGTAGAGAAGTGCGAGGACAAGAGAGAGTCTGGACTGAGGAATCCCAGTGAAGAGAAATTTGTGTTTTCTCATCTGTTAACACACAAAGAACTAAGATAACCGAGCCACAACTCTAGCTTTCTGTAAAGGTAAGGAGTAGATGAGATGCTGCCAGAGTACTTCACTAATTCAAGTAAATCATGCTCCAGCCTGCAAGAGAGAGAACAGACGCCAGCTCAGCCTTTGATTTATACTGGCAGGGGAAGAAGCCATGAAACTACACCAGCATGCATTCTTAGCAGCTCTATCAGAGACAGAGAGAGAGCAAATGAGCAAGCATGAGTGAGAGAGTAGGCGGCAGTATCAGAGCACCAACAGCGACATCAAGGTCAAACCCAGTGGGGTGACCCCTGTCCATCTGTCAGCACACTGTGCTTTCCCACACTGCACTGAGGCCGGGCCATGTGACCACACTGGCAACACACTGGACCAAGGGTCAGTGCAAACACCTAAATGAAAACCAAATATCACATCAATGTGTTTACAAGAGTGAAATACAAATCGGATTCCACACAAATGGTAACACAACCAACCAACTTTAATCAGCAGCTACTTGAGACTAGAGCACAATTATGGATGCCAACAAAATAACACAGAATTAACACAGCGGTCTTGATTCATGCTGTCACACAAGTTTTCATTATTTAATCTATCTAAACATGTTCCAAAGGTTTAGCAGTTTCCTGCGGGAGACTACATGGCGAAACAAACAAAGAGTGCTGTCTTTTGCTGTGCTGGAGTGAAATGCTGTCAGTAGGGCCGGGGCACAACAGATCCAGACTGATGACAAACAGTTTTAACATGGCTAGCACAGATGGCCCAGTCATCTATCATCACAAAACCCCTCACATGCATACTATAGACATCCATATGAACATATGTCATACTGGAAAATGCCCTCACACAAGTGCACATGCAGCATGCCACAAGGTTTGCTGCAAGTGTATTCATTAGTTTTTCCTGATACTTCAAATGTATGATGTTTACAAACCTCAAGATCATTTGCTAGAGAGGGGCATAGCAGCTGACGATGAATATGCAGTGCAGAAAGTAGTGCTGTACAGCTTATAGGAGAGAAATGTGTTTTTCAACTTTGGACGACTGAGGATGAGCAGACATCTACAAGCAGGACACCCTTCACCAAAAACTCAGTGGAATTTGACACTAGCTTTGGCATAAGGTGGATACATAAAGTCACAAATACAAGTCTGACTGACTCCAGTATGTGCATAGTGCTGAAGTGTGGTGTCTAATAGCTAATTACCCTGTACAGTGGGCCAGTGTAACAGTAGTGAAACACTAGCTCTCTGAACACCTGAAGCATCCCCATCTGGTCTTCTGAGTAATGGATCAGGGGGCAAACATCAGTCAAAAAGAAGTTGCACAGTCAAAGTGTGCTAGTAAGTGTTTGAAACTTTGAGGCAAGCTTTAGAAATGACAACATACCTTGGTGGTGTGTTCAGCCATGGTGTGGTAGTTGAGGCCAGCCTTTGACCTGAACTGTTTGTGGCACTGCTGGCACTTCAGGGCATCCTGGAGCTGCAGAGGTCAAAGGTCAAACAGATGATCAAATAACATTTCTATGAAAGGAAACTTACAAGTCTCCCACTCTTGATGGCTTTGCTTTTTATTGGATCTATCTATATAGTAACATTTCATCTATAACCTAATAAAGTTTGTTATTAGTGCACAATGTTGTTCAAAAGAACATATCAAGAAACTTTAGGAACTAGAAAAAGCCAATTTAACACACTCTGTTCCTTTTCACAGTCTTTTCCTCTCGCCTCAGTATTGATTTGAAGATGGAGGTGCTGTGATGGTGAGTGACCCAGTGGTAATGTAGTGATTCTATCACTGCTTAATGGCAGAATGTCACTTTAATCAAGTCACATGGGCCACTGGGCAGAAAGCCATCACAGTGGCTGTAGGAACACATCTCTCTGAGGGCCTGGAGGCGGCTGCGCCACTCAAGCTGGTTTGGCCTCAGAAAAAGCTCAATATAATCTGTACTTCACTCCACCTCCTTATTACTACTATTGACTACAACTGAGTGCAATGCAAACTAACCTCAGAGGTGTACAGTGTCAGAAAACTGTCTGAAATTACTGTGCTGAGACACTGCCTGATGTTATTTCTACAGCTTTCCAATCAATATCCTCACTGTAAAGGCTCCCCATACTCTGCACAACTGGGTCCTCTGGGAGAGGTATCTAATAATGTTGCAGTGAACGTTATAATCCAGTTATTTCGTACTCAGACTGAATAAAGATTAACAATAGCTGTGGTTCAGAAAAGATTTGCCAATATATAAAATGGTTTTGGTTGATATGACGCATGGTTTCCGCTGGGGTATTGTGCTGTCAAATTGCCTGCTATAGATTAACACATTATGTGTCATGCTTTCCTGATGGCACAGATTTGAGACTTCCTTCCAACCCACAGCATTCAGCAGGTAATACATGATGGTTAAATGTTGAGGGTATTCATGGCTTATTGAGATTTTCTACAGCCAAGCTCATCCAGAAGCTACTGCAGAGTACAAGCTTTACTCAGGTGTTTGTCTTGGAATGGTTATTTTTAACTAACTAGCCTGCTATGAAAGTAGTTTTATCTGCTTTACAACACAACACATTCTATCAGAGGTCGTCATAGCACACTCAGCCCGCCCCCATTCTGACAGACAGCTGTATCGCCCATTCACCTTCTGGCAAATCTCCATGTGCTTCTTGAGGCCGTGGATTGTTTTCCTGGTGACGATGGAGCAGGTGGGACACACCACTTCACCTCGCTCTGAGATTGCACGTTGCCATTGGGCATCAGGAACAGCACCTTACAAACATGAGGACATATTAGCCAGTAACAGATCACTGGTATAATGTCCTCATAGGAATAACAGTTCTTCTTTGTGTACTTAGTATTTCTGTTGCCTTGTCTTATACTTTCATGTTCTGCTTGTGCAGTGAGTCAAGCATTAACAGTGATGTTTGATTAGCAGGTTTTGTTGTAATAACCCGGTAACTGTATTATATATGGCACATTTTATTAGTTACCTACTTAACATATTGATTGATCACCAGATAAATATTGATTCATATTTTTTATTATGAGCTCAGTTGTTCCAAAGTTTCTGACATAAAGTACAAAGACAAGCCATTCAGACCCGTTACCTCACACAGAGTCAGCATTTCAATCATAAATCCAACCTGTCCATCTAGCAGGTACTGTAGAACAGGTATTACATGCTCCTTTGAGCTGATACTTTAAAAATCTGTCCTTATAACTGCCATCACATTTTGCTCCTTGGCCAGTCAGAACTTAGTAATGTTTTTTCACTACTCCATAACACCAGGTTTTGAAATGGCCAGGCAGATTGACATGTTACATCATTCTCTGGACAGACATCACAATAGTACTGAATCAATTAGTCAATTAATTGAGTAGCTAAATGCCTGAAAATACAATTACAACAATTTTAATGATTACTTATTCAGTTAGGTGATTTATTAAGCAAAAATACAGCTTTTAAAATATGAGAGTTTGTTGCTTTTCTCTGTTTTATATCAATGTAATCAAATATTACTGGGTTTTGACCGATGGTTAGACAAAACAGTAAATTTAATTAATACATCACCATGGAAACATTTTGCATTACTTTCTGACAATTTGTATACAGAATGACAAACTGATTAATTAAATTAACAAATATTTGAGACATATGATAATGAAAATACCCCTCCTGGAACCGCCACCTTACTGTGGTGGAGGGGTTTGAGTACCCGAGTGATCCTAGGAGCTATGTTGTCGGGGGCTATATGTCCCTGGTAGGGTCTCCCAAGGCAAACAGGTCCTGGATGACGGGTCAGACTAAGACAAAAGCCCTTTATGAACAGAATTAAACCAAGGACCATGACGTCGCCCGGAATGGCGCACCCGGGGCCTCACCCTGGAGCCAGGCCTGGGGTCGGGGCTCGAATGCGAGCGACTGGTGGGCGGG